TTGGAAGGCCAAATAAAGTAGTTTCGCTTTCACAACGAAACACACGACATGGCGGTGGCAACAATACTACAGCCAGAATCAAAGTTGCACCTTCTTTCTTTGCATGAACATTTGGGCGGTGTTATGCAAATCTTCCCACACAGTGACATAGACATGTCATAGACAAGGTGTGTTTAAACTAGGTGTTTTAGGAAGGCGTGGTCGAGTCGTAACTTTTATAAAGAATATCTCTTTGGGTTTGAGACTTTAGTCTTTGCAACTTTAGGGATCTTATCTATGCACGAACAGCTTGTAACACTCCAAAGAGAAAGGAAAACTTGAAATCGCATCATATGACCCCTTTAAATCAATCTTCATTTTGATACATGATAATGATTGATTCTTAAATCTCATGATCACTTCTTATAGTCTATGTAATTTTCTGTTAATGTGTGAACAAAGCTTCACTAAACATTATTAGTAGCATGTAAAATTCCAAAATAAATGTTGTTTTGACACTGTTTATTATGACGTGGTAGAAGTTCAAGCACAAAATAAACATGAATGAACATCACAAGGCATGTTAAAAGAAAGTACAATTCATGAAATATATAACACCTCATTGTAATCATTCACTCAGCGTTTTAACCCCAGAAAAAAGTCAGTAATAAAAGCTTGACACATAACATTACATATAAACTAGTGGTTCAACGGATCACAAAACTCACGGTTCGGATCATTTTGCAGGTTTTGGGTAATGGATCGGATCATTTTTCGGATCAGCAAAAAAAATAAAATAATTTAATATCAATGTAACATTGCTTTCCGTTTGTTACTTAAAGTACACCAAGTAATTCTTCAATACCACAGCAAAAACTACTAAGCTAAGTTCAAACATGAGTAAAGGCAAGTGAACAGTCAGTAAAAACTAAAAATAAAAAATAAAAATAAATAAAAATATTTAAAAAACAAATACACAAATTACAAGCATAGATAAATAAAATATAACAGTTACAAATAAAAATATAGCTTCAAGCAGCAATTGCGGGGCCAAGCACTCCAGAGGCAAAATGAGAAGCTAAGCATGGCATGGAGCATCAGACCAAATGCAACAATGAGTAATAAAAGCAATTTTAGGATGATTGTAATTGAAATGGATGAAAAATCATAAATACAACCACTAGTAATATGATTAAATGGCTCATCACTTTTGACCAACAGGTGGCGCTGTAATCAAATCATTTTGGTGTGTTCTGTGTGAGGTGACAAATGTATTTACAAAGTTTGGTGTCAATGTCAAATATTTGCAGAGATACAGCCTCAGAAGCAGTTTGGCACTATGCCTAAAATTTGTAGTGGCACTGTATGAAAACAGTTTCGTTTATCGACACGAAATCCATACGTTTTTGTCAGCACAGTCTGAAGATCATCTGACTGTAATATGATTAAATGGCTGATCACTTTTGACCAACAGGTGGCGCTGTAATCAAATCATTTTGGTGTGTTCTGTGTGAGGTGACAAATGTATTTACAAAGTTTGGTGTCAATGTCAAATATTTGCAGAGATACAGCCTCAGAAGCAGTTTGGCACTATGCCTAAAATTTGTAGTGGCACTGTATGAAAACAGTTTCGTTTATCGACACGAAATCCATACGTTTTTGTCAGCACAGTCTGAAGATCATCTTACTCGATTTTGGTGAAAATCGGACCAACGAGTGGCGAGGAGTTAAAAAAAAAGTAGGTTTTCAACATAAATCAAAATGGCGGACAGGAAGTTCAGCTTACTCTGGCATATTTGGTATCTATGTTGTCGGCATAAGCCAAGGAATATTTTGATATCAGTTTCATTGCAATAGGCTAATGCAATCAAAAGTTATTAGCCTTTTTATGAATGTAATTATTAATGGTTAATTAATGTTTTATTACTCTTGACCAATAGGTGGCGCTGTTACCAAATTGATGTGGTATGGTCAGTGTGAGGTGACAATGGCACACACAAAGTTTGTTGTCATTATGTCAAAGCTTTGAAGAGATATAGCCTTAAGAGTCATTTTGGCACCTTGCCTAAAATTTGTAGCAGCGCTTTACGAAAACGGTTTCGTCTATCGACACGAAATTCATAACATTTTGTCAGCACAGTCAAAAATTTGTCAGCACATGATTTGACTAAATTTTTGTGAAAATCGGACCTAGGCTTGAGGAGGAGTTTGAAAAAGTATGTTTACAGCATAAATCAAAATGGCCGACAGGCAGCTCGGATTTGCTAAGGGAAAATTGGTATGTCTGTTGTCGGCATAAGCCAAGGAATATTTTGAGATCAGTTTCATTGCAATAGGCTAATGCAATCAAAAGTTATTAGCATTTTTGTACATTTCATAATTAATAATAAATCAATGGTTTATTACTCTTGACAAATAGGTGGCGCTGTTACTAAATTGATGTGGCGTGGTCAGTGTGAGGTGACAATGGTACATACAAAGTTTGGTGCAAATATGTCAAAGCTTTGCAGAGTTACAGCCTCAGATGCATTTTGACATCTTAACCAGCAAATTCGTTGATGCTCTAAACGAAAACCGTTTCGTATATCGACACGAAATCCACAACTTTTTGCCAGCTTGGTCTGAAGATGATCCGAGTCAAATTTGGTGAAAATTGGACTAACGGTCTAGGAGGAGTTCGAAAAAGTAGGTTTTCAACATGAATCAAAATAGCGAACAGGAAGTTCAGCCAATTATGGCAAAATTGGTATAAGGAGGCGCTGCGCCCAAACATTTTGAGTGCCATCAGGGCATGGTGCTGAAGATGCATACCGATTTTCGTAATAAAGTCTAAGCGTTCTTAAAATATTGCATTTTTGGACAAAATTCAAAATGGCCGATGCCCAAAATGGCTGACATGGAAACATTTGGTATGGTTCGACTTGGCATGATGCACCGAATCTAAAGAGACCTGTTTTGTGATTTTTGGCCAAACCATTCAGAAGTTATAAGCAAAAATATGCATTTTTCATATCTCCTGACCACTAGGGGGCACTGCGCCGAAACACTGCAGGTAGTCTCAGGTCATG